TTCTCAAGTGTGTTATAGTTAGAGGTCAGCGACAAGCCCAAATCACTCAATAGAGGGAAGAGAGGGGAAAAACTTATCTTACTTTAAAACATGCCTGACATCTCAAAAGGGTTGAGTATGCTTTGGGGTACATTGAGCTGTACTGAGAGAGAGCAAGTTAAAATTAAAAGTTCAAAGTGGGCTAACGTAAGAATAATTCAAGATGCGGTTAAGACAAAGGACACTGGAAACCAACTCTGGGTTAACTTCTGAAGCTCTAGCACCAGAAGCCTGGGCCATGGTGGGCATTAAAGGACACAGACACTCAAGATAGATGCAATGGGAATCCTGTGTACATCAGCTCAGCTCTAAGTGCTGGAGGAAAGAATTCAAGCAATGACAATTCCTCCTCTTCTGATAGTCAGTACAAGATAGAATTTTCAGTGCCTGCTTAGGTAGTGTTGAGCTTATGTTCAGTATAGTTGCTCAGGGGCAAAAGCTGTGTTCCTCAAAGGCCAACAAGAGGGTTATTCCAAGCCGTAACCAAGTGCTGGATTGTTGATGGGGACAGACCCAATGTGGCTAAAACAGTCAGAGTAGTCACTGGTCTCTGGAGCCTGCAGACAGAGCACCCTGTGGCAGACTGACCCTTTAACTCATTAAACAGCAAGGACTTGCAGATACAAATATTAGACTACCTTTTGGTTCTGTTTCTGTCTTAAAGCCCCTAATCTTTTTCTACTGTAGCCCTTACTTTTAAAAGGAACTCTAGCAGCTTCTCTTTGGAGTCTCTAATTCCCTTACAAACATAGGCCAGAATTACTCAGAGTGCCTGCCTTCATGAAGCGTATAGACTGTTGGGCAGGGATCATAAGTGAGTTATACAAATAAGACTTCCATGGGCTGAATGCTGTGACAAAGAATGTAGGGAACTTGACCTTGTCAGAGAAGTCAGAGTGAGCTTTCTTGAAAGGTGATTGGTGCAGTGACGTCTGAAGGCTGAGGAAAGATTCACCATTGGTGGAGAGAGGGACAAACATTCCAAGCAGCGGGAACAGCATAAGTCAAAGCCTTGGGGCAAAGATAATAAGGGTCAGTTGGAAGGCAAATGACTCAGAAGATCATACGGCCTCAAGACCCATTAAAGAACTTTCCTTTCATTCTAAGAGTAGCAAGAAGCTTTTGAAAAACTTGAGCAGTAGAATACAAAAAAGGAAGGAGCTGAATCGCAATTAGATTTCCATTTTGACAGAGTCTCTCTGCCTGTGATGCAACCAGCATTTGGAGGGGGACTGGAATGAATATGGGCAGTATTACCAACAAGGTGACATAAGAATCTAGACAAGAGATGACAGTTGCTTGGTGGTCATGATGGGGGAGATAAAAGAAGACAGATCAGAGCTGCAAGGTCACAATAGGTAAAAGCTGGAGGGTGTGGTGGAGAGGTAAGAGATGAGGGGGAGAAGGATTAAGGGTGACTGCCAGTTTTTTGACTTATAAAGCTGGCATCCCGCCACCCTGCCGGAGAGATGATGGAGTCAGTTTGGACATGTTGGGTTTGAGCGCCTGGGAGGCATTTGGAAGGAGAGCAGAAACTCATCTGGGTAAGTGGAGCTAAGTCCCGAGTGGAGGTCCATGTGTGAGCCTTCTGGGGACAGGACCTCAGAAACCCTGGCTGTGGGTGTGGTGTGGCCCAGCGGGGCAGAATGAGGAAACCAGAGGGCCTGGACCAGGCCTTATGGGATTTCCATGCTTCATGACTGCGGGGAGAATCCTTATAAGATAAACAAAAGAATTCCTGCCAGATCTAGAGCAAGAAAACCAGCCTGAAAGCCAAGAGAAGCAGTGTTTGTTCAAAGAGGAGGTGGTTAGGGGAGAAAGCTGGACAGAGGGCAGAAAAAACTAAAGATTCAATAATAATGATAACAACTCTAATACTGTTAATAACGATAGTCATGGGCAGCCATTGTGGAGCACTAGTTACGAGCCAGGAGTTTTAACATGTAGTTTAACCTCCAGAAGATTGTCTATAGGGCAGGTTATATGACCCTTATCTTTACAGACCAGAAAACTAAGTATGGAGAGATAAGGTCATTTGCCAGGGGTCACACAGCCAGTGAATGAGCTCTTCTTTCTCACACCACAGCCCCTACCTTTAAATGTATATTTTCAATGTTGGTAGAATTAAGGCAACCAGGAAGGAAGGTGGGGAAGGAGGATTTTTCCTTTCCTTCTTTCTTTCTTTTTTGAGTCAGAGTCTATGTGTCATTCAGGCTGGCCTTGAACTCACTGTGCAGCCCAGTGCCAACACACCCAGCTTGGATTTTTCTTTCTAACGATTAGGATTCTTTCAGTTACAGATAAACAACTACTGCATTGTTGCAATAGCCAGGTTCAGGCTGAAGATGGCGAGGATGGTTCGCCTGCATGGTGGTGTGGTTCCTCTAATAGGGGACACTGTTAATAAAGGATGGATGCCTCCCCCTTGTCGGGTGAAGGGCTTCTCCAGGTGCTCAAGGGGAGAGGTCCTCCAAGTGTGGTCCATGGGCCAGCTACATCAATATCTCCTCCAAACTGGCTGGAGAAGCTCTCCCCCAAGTCTGAGTGAGACTGGGCGAGGGGTCCAGAAATCGGGTTTCTAGTAAGTCTCCATGTAATTCTTATACACAAGTTTGAGAACCCTTGTTCCTGAGGGAGTCCTTGAAAGGAAAAAAAAAAAAAGGAGCAACCTCCAGTGTTCATTTCACACAGATGTAAAGCACGGAATGAGAGTCTGTGGTCCCTAACCTGGGCCCCACGTGGGACTCTCCCAGAGAGCTTTGACCCCTCTAGGGGCTCAGTTCCCACCTGTGTCAGCATCGGGTTGGTTTCGGAGCTGAGGATGTGACAGAGAAGGGACGACTGGATGAGCAATCAGCAAGACAGCCGCGTATTCACAAGTACAAAACTGTGCTGGGGGGTGGGGAGAAGCCAGGCAGCCCTTGCAGGGGAAGCCCTTGCAGGGAAGACACTTTATGAGCAGCAGTGAAGCCTGTGTAATTCCGAGATGTGGAGGGGGAAGGTGGTTAGGATTGGTAACAGTCATTTTTTAGTCATTGTTTTTTTTTTTTTCTCATTTTAGCAGCTTCTAGTCAAAGTTGTATATGAGTTTATTTTTTCCCTGCATCATCACAATTGTTTCTTCCTTATATTTGTTTTTTTCCTTTCCTACTTGGCCACATTTAGCTTCTCATTCCAGGATCTTTTATAAGTCTTTGTCTAGTCTGGCCTGGTGATGATCACCCTGCTGAGGTGAATACCCACATGGACAGTTGTGCCCTTCCCCTTTCTCCTCTACACCCATTCATTCATTCATTCATTCAGTGGAGAAGGCGTAGTTTTTCCCTTAAACCTGGATTCCTTTATCAATCTGCTGACCTTTATATTGTCCTCACACAACCTGAACATCATCATACACTTGGATGGACGTAGATGGAATCTTATACTTCTGCCTCAGGTCTTTGGAAGGAGGTGAAGACATAATCTTCCTGCTCATGTGGGAGGCTGCATTAAAATGCCTTTTATGATTCTTGTTTTGGTCCAAAGTTACAAAGGGTTTGAACTCTGTTTTGGCCCCTGCAGTTCCAGTGGTGGCTGCAAAGGGATACTAACAGTCCTTAACTGTGGGCTTACTGTCACAAAGGTGAAGGTAATGAAGGAGATTTGCTTCCTAAGTAAAGCAGCACCAGGGCTCACATTTACGGTCTGGATGACAAACTGTCTCCTTTGGGAAACTTCACTTAGACTCCGTCTGTGTGTTAAGCATACACCCTGCCCCTCTGGTCCCATAACACTTCCTTCCCAACTGATCTGGTCACTGTCTTGGTCCCTAAGATGCTCACCATTTGCATCTACAACACTCCATGGCCCCCAGTCAGAGAGTGGCCCTTTCTCTAAATCTTTTCAGCATCCACTGTCTTTATTGTGTCTTCCTCCTGGGTTTTATTTCTATCATTCTGCCCATGCCCCATCTCTAACCAGAGTTTGTAATTTCCAACCACAAAGACACCCAGAGCGCTGCGGGCTAATATTCCTTTGCCTGCTGCCTAGCACATGCGAGGCTCTTAGGGAAAAAAAATGTCAAGGAACTGCAAAAGTGGATTTTGATCCATCCTGTGTCTTTGTTAGCATAGATTTACAGACGAGGAGGTGCCACCTGCAGTGAGGTGTGGCTGTGGCTTGGCCATCTGAAGGATGCCTTGAGGAGTGCACCATAGGAATCCTGGGAGGAACAGCCTCCAAAGCCAAAACAGGGAATGGTCGTCTCCACTCATTCCTGCATGTCACTGTTATTGCAGAAAATATTACAAGTTATTTCACATTACATTGTTTCAAATTTCCTAGACTACCTTAACAAATTAAACAATAGAATTGATTCACAGTTCTGGAGGCCAGAGTCTGAGACTGGTCCTGCTGGGCAAAAGTTAAGGTGTCAGACCCTAGACCAGTCTCCTTCCAGAGGCTCTGTTCCTTGCTCCCTGTGGCTTCTGGTGACTTCCTGCATTCTTTGGCTGGTGGCCACATCACACCAATTTCAGCCTGGAGAACCAGCCTAGTCCCACCTTCTCAAGATCCCTGATTTTCATGTCTGCAAAGTCTTTTTGTGTTCTGTCAGCATCCATTGATGTCATGAGTCAGGACTGTTTCTGACCATTAAACAACATGCCACATACATGAAGGTACCTAGCACCTAGAGACTTGTCTAAGGCCACAGCTGAACCAAAGACCTAGTTCTCTATCAGTTGCAGACTTCTTACAGATCAAGCTCATGTCCATGAAAGTAAGACAAATGTATTTTAACATAATACCCTGGTTTGTGTCCCTCATTCCTTTGTCCTTTTGGATTATGTGCTCCCAGCATTCACTCACTTCTGAGCTTTCTCCCCCTTGAGTCTTGTTAGCTTACGCCAGGCTCACATTTCCTGGCTTGTGTAGGCAGCCGCAATGAAATGACCTGGTGGTATTTTCTTCTCTCCTTTCAGGATCGCCTCTTTTTTGTCATGGAGTATGTCAACGGTGGAGACCTCATGTTCCAGATTCAGCGCTCCCGAAAATTCGATGAACCTCGCTCCCGGTTCTATGCTGCGGAGGTCACATCGGCCCTCATGTTCCTCCACCAGCACGGAGTGATCTACAGGTAGCCTCTTCTCTCTCCTCTTTCCTGAAACCCAAGTATAAAGACTTCTCCAGATATTTGAACTGACTTTGGCTTCTGCCCAGCTGGTCTCCCAGCAATAGGCTTTAGATTAGTTGTTTGTTCCATTTTGCTTACAGAGAACTTTTGGGGGGGCTGTTAATCACTGTGAATGTTAATATTTGAATGGCCTCAGGAGACTTAACCAATTGTTTGTGCCAGTTTTGATTTAAAGCTCCAGCATGACATTTAAAGGCTCAGTGCCGGATGACCTTGAGGTGACCTTCATTTCTGTCTCTCCCCCACCCTCTTCCTTGAACATCAGGGCATTCGCTTGACTCTTTCCTTCTGTGCCATGAACTTCCTCCCCTTCCCAATCTCTTGCCACTTCCTGAGTTTGTTTGGCTTAGTTGTCTCCTGCCGATAGAATCAGGGAAGGAGGAGCCACTCAAGGTCTAGGGGTTTATGATCTGGGGTGGGGAATGGCAACTAGACATTATTCGACAGGAAGTGACATTTTGCAGATCACCCAGTCCCTTACTGCTGCCCAGTCCCTTTCCAAAGAACAAGTGTGTGTGTGTGTGTGTGTGTGTGTGTGTGTGTGCGCACGCGCATGCACACACACAGACACATGCACGCACACTAATTTTCGAGTAAGGGACTCTAAGTATTTACACACATTCTTCTGTGAGGTCAGGAATCCTGGGAGGAGTAAATATTTATAATTAGTAACAAGGACGTGAAAGTTCCTTACGTTTTTTTTAATGACCATCTATTTCTTTCCTTGGTCTTTGCCGCTCTGTTGTTTTGTACCTTTAATTGGGTGGGAGAGTAGCTGGCTTGGGTTAACCCAGAACTTAGTCACTCACCTAAGCGTTACTGATCTGGTGCTGGGAACAGTGTCCTGGGCTGCCTGAATGTTCTTTGGAGACTCTGGTCAACCTCACCCCAACTTCCCTTCTCTCGACAGTGTCTGGAGAGAATGGGGAAAAGCCTTGCCTGCCCCAGATGAAGGAACCCACGCTCCTCAGCCTGCTCTCACAGGCTGAGGCCATCCTTTGTTCTTTATGGCCACGTCAGCCATCATCATAAGCTTCGATGCATTAAACACCCCCGTTTATTCCCCTGGTTCCTGGGGTCAGGAGGGAGGCACATCTCTCCACATCATGCCCTGGGTTCTCATCTGAACTGGGCTCCTTTCATACATTGACGGCTGAATTATTTTCCTCACAGCTTTAGATCTTGTGTGGCTGTGGTTTGGTGAAAGCCAGAAGGAGAGAAAGTCTTGCCTGCTTCAAATCTCTAATCTCAGGGAAGCAGTGAAATTCCTTTAACACTTCCCGCAAGGGCCTCAATGCCCAGTGGTACATGCATGCCTATCCCATGCCACCCAATGGGATAGTCATGCGTGTACTACTAGTGGCTTACAGCTGCCTGTCTTGCAGCAAGATGCCAAATACTGCCCCATAATGATTGTGTTAAAGGGTTCTAATCAGGCCCACCCAAGATCATGTTCCTTTGGATTAATTCAAATGATTCAGAGCTTTAATTATATCTGCAAAATCCCTATACCTTTACCATATAATGTAACATAATCACAGAAGTGACATAATGTCACTTTTGCCAAATTTGCTCTCTTGGTTAAGGGTAAGTCTTGGGTCCCACCTACTCAAGGGGAAGGAGTTAGAGATTATACCAGGGCATGGACCCTGGCAGCTTCCTTAGGATGCGTCTCTGATGGGCCAACACACCTCTTTCCTCCCATCCCACAAAACCTCTTAGCTTTCCTCCCACTCATCTGCCAGCCCGTAGCACTCCCCTCTCCTCTGCGCCTCCTCCATCCAATTAGAGCCTCACTATTTACTTGGCCCCATTAGCAAACTGAGTCTTTGCTTTGGCTGGTGATAAATTTCAGTTCAAGGCCCTCATTGCGACACTGGGCCTGTGAGGACTCTGCCTGGCTTTGCATACCCTCTGAAGGGCCATTCTTTCTTCTCTTTTCAAAATGAATCTTCTTTCATTCTTATGCTGCATGCTCTGGTCTTGCTCACAGTAAATAGCAAGTATGAATGTTGATTTCAATTAGTTTAAAACCCTAATCCCTACCCACCACATCATTCATAAGCTAGTTAGAAAGAGAAGGCAAGAAAAGGGACCATAAAAAAAAAATCAAGATCTGTGCATCCTTGTGATGAGTATAATCATTATATACTGCAAATATGTATTAATAAAATTTGCAAGAAAAATATAAAACTGCATAGGAATCCAAGAGTCAACTATGTGAGGTCACCCATATGAAGCAGGACCTCGTCATTTGCCACTGACCAGAAGAACAACTACTATTCCTTGAGACATTGTCCCCACACTGTTCCTGTGAGAGTGAGTGCAGTCCCCATACGTTACTAACAGGGATACAGCCTCACTTGGAATCATGGGGCCAAGACCATACTTGGCGCATGGCAGATGTGGAAGGTATAAACAACTTTTGACCCTTATCGTCACCCTCCTAACCATGCATCCCACTCTCGAAATCCTGCAAATGACTTGCTGTTCTATGCCAAACACCACTCTTAGTTTCTCTGGGCTTTTTCCCCACTGATCCTGGGATTCACTTGTCTTGATCAGTGGTTCCAAGTTCACAATCAGGGTGAACATGCACCGTGCCTCAGAATCCCTGGTTTAAAAAAAGGTAAGAATTCCATAACTCTGAAGGAGGAGAAGAAGGTAAGGATAAAGAAGATGGTTCTGAATTGCTGATTGCTGAATCTGAATGATAGGGTCTTAAGGGTTCAGTTTTTCGTCTACTTTTTTGTATGTTTTTTCATCATAATAACAGAATGAAGATTCCAAGGTAGCATGGCAAGAGCTTTTGAGTCATAGATCTGGTATAGGTTTCGGGAATTTGCGTGTATTTCAGTGCTCCCAGGTGATGTGGGGACTACAGCTCTGGAAAAGTTTCATTCTGCCTTGAGGACAGTGTCATGTGCCTCAGCTGTGTGTGGCTTTCCCTGACCACCCAACCTGTCATGCCCGCAAAGACAGTCTCTCTGTACCAAGCATTTAGCAGGTTCACTTTACCGAGCTTGGGCTTTTATTTATGACCCCATTCTGTGATGGAGAATCATGCATGGATCATGTTTACTTGGTGGCCAAGGACAGTGTTCTGCTTGAACTTGGTGTCCGACACATGTTTGTTCCTGTCTGTGCTGCTCCAGGGGCCTGCAACCTCAGAGGTGTGCCCTTGAAAGTCTCTCCTGAAAGCACTCCTGACATCTAACACACACCGCTTCCCCTTGACTCTGAAAAGTCCCTGATGCCTCTTATCTCTTACATTCTACCCTCATGAGGACCATGAAATCCACACGTCCCATGTTGCCTTTGCCCACACTGCCTGCAGAAGAGCTGTGTCAGCTAGTCAGTCTGAGGTTGACCGAGAGGCTGTCACTCTGTGTCATTGCCTGCTCACTTCTGGTTGTTCTGAAGCCAGGCAGAGACCGCATTTTATATGATACTTATATGATAAAAGGGGTTTTCTTTGGGGAATCAACAAGACCAGGTTTTGGAGAATGAGTTTCATGCTGAAGTTGAGAATGGATTTTCCATCCTCCCTGCTGGATAAGGTAGAAAGGTAGAGATTTTAGAGGGTCCAGAGCTGGTTCCAACAACTTCTCTGCATTGGGCTTGGTGCCCGCATGTGGTCAATAGCTGCTGACTTCCAAAGCCCACTCCTCTGTCCCTGTGGTCTGACAGAGGAGACAGAGATTGTGATCTGCCTCAGAGGGAGAGGGGAGGACCTTGAGAGGAGGTGAGTACCTTCTTACTCTTGTGCAATCCCGAAACCAGGCAAAACTGTACAACCAGAGGTCTCAGCTCTGGCTTAGTGTTTTCGTGCTTTCTGCCTCATCTATAGAATGACACCTGGCTCCTGGAGTTGTTGGGACTGAGTGAATTCATAACCCTAAGTGATCCTGAATTGTGCCTGCTACACAGCAGATCCTCAAAAATGTTAGCTAGTCTTATTAGGCTGTAAGTTGGTTTTCACTAGGATACAGCCGAATAACACTGGTGATCTTTTTATCCAGTTCAGGCTCCAAAAGGGATTCTGGAACCGCATCGCAACATTGAATTCCTTCTTACTCTTTTTCTTTCTTTCTGATAAAACTGAACATTTTGCAGCAATGAAAGTAGTTATTGTAAGATAAATAGAAAGTTAAGCACTCAAGACGATGTGAAGTCAGCTTTCCTATCACCAACCACACAGCTGACAGCTGTCCAGGGGTAAACTGTTAATATTTCCAGAGGATCCTCGGAGAGATCTTGAACAAGTTAAGGACCCTCTTCGTGACTGATCATCGTTTGCGAATCTCACAGAACACCTGCCGTGTCTCCTTTGGGAGGGAGCAGAGAGTGGCTGCTGAAAGGCAGTGTGACAAATGTAAGCTGGTGGAAAAGAATAGCCATTTTATTTATGTACAGTACTGTGAATGATTAACACTCATCATTTTAAGCACCAGAGAGGAAAGCTGTAAGTTATGAAACCCTTCTGCTCACTGACTTCCCCCCGTCTTCCCATCAATGAGCCACTGTCATTACCCCAAGCCAGTCACCTCAGGCACCCTGTGTGTCTGTCGTACTTGCTGTCACCCCATGACAGGCCTCGCTGGGAAATGCACACTCAGGTATGATACACGCATAGCTTGCTGGGTGAAAGGGAAAGTGTGTGGCTGGATGCACCTGCCCTTGGCATAGCTGGAGAGGTCCCAACCAGCAGGTCTCCAGTTAACCCCAAATCAATACCTGGAAGATCTTTGTAAGCCCAGGATTTGAGGCAGGAGGATCCCAAGTTAGAGCCTAGCCTAGGCCACTTAGTGATTTAGCAAGACTCCAAAATAAAAAATAAAAAATAGCAAAAGGCTTAGTGTAAAGGCCATGGGTTCAAGCCCCACTACCACAAAAAACAAAATTAAAACCGAACAGAAAAATGTAAGATGTCCAATACTTAA